CAAACCATCTTGACTTTCCGCGTGGAAAGGAAGCACAGCGACAGAAGATAATAAGGAAGAGGGCTCTAAAAGTGACAAGCTGAGAAAGATGAAAAGAAAACAAAGACACCTCATTAAAGTGCTCTGCATGTGTGTATATTTCCACTCATCAAGGTGACTTGTGGCAGTACTAAGGAAGGAGGGAATATTTTGCTACTTCACAGTGACTCCATCAAACAAGCCTAGAACCGCTATATAGCACAGGGCAGATATCACGCAGAGCTCCTCCTTATTACTGTAACAAGACAGTTCAGTTGCTTTTGCGTTTAAAATATAAGTTATCCTCACATAGAGATAACCACAAATCGTACCCAATTTTAGACGTTTTTTATAACTTATTTCATTTAATTTCATTGGGACGTCCTCCCGACGTGAAAGGCGCTCTATAAATGGAATCTTGATGTAATAGTTTATTAGGAAAACCTTTCGGACAAAAAAGAGGCTTTCATCTCCATTTCCATGGCTAGATTCATGTACCCAACTTCAAGAGAAAGGTATCTTTAACGTTAATAACTATATCTATAAATATTAAATTAGCTTCTTCAAAATATCAGGAATACTGACAGACTCTTCAAAACCTCTATTCCAATGATGACATCAGCCATTATTCAAGGCATTGGTTCCAGAAATATTGAAACCAGTGGATCTGAAGAAAATGTTCAAAGGTAAATTTTGAATTTCTTTGAAGCCTTTTCACTTTAAACATAAGAAATGATTTCCGTTGACCTCAAATTTTCAACAACTTATATTTATATAGAATCCTTCATGCAGGGCAGTGTCTCAGAGTGCTTAATTTAACAGCAATGACAACAAAATTGCATTAATTTAGTTGTGTTATTCAACTGCATTATTTAGTGTTTCAAAACACAGATCCCGATTGACCTATGTAAATAAAGGCAACAGTGCAGCATTGGTTATGCAGATCAGATGCTCACAGATTCTAATCTGGCTATGCTGAGTTAGCCAATCTTACTGAAGCAGCAGTTAGGATGTTACAGTCTCAGTATTCCTGGGTTAGAGCGGGGAAAGAAATCAGATATGGTTTCAGAAGTGCAATAGCCTTCCAGGACCAATTGTCAAATATGTCTGGCACCCAAGGATACGTATTCCAGTAAAACAAAGTATAAGTCAAGTTGCTCCCACCTACCTCTGTGACCTCCTAAACGCCTAACAACCTGCCCGCACCCTCTGCTCAGCAGACTCTGTCCTGCTTCACATCCCTGGCCTCGCCCGCCCCAACATTGACAGGTGGCCCTTCTGCCACTCTGCTCCACCCTCTGGAACTCCATCCACAGTCCCTTCGCCTCGCTCCCTCCCTTGCCTCCTTCAAGACCCATCTCAAGACCCTAGTTTCTGACCATGCTTTCCTTCACCCCGCTTCCCCCTTGCCCTCCACCCTCCCCAATCCCAAGCCCCAGCTCGGGTCCGAAACACTGACTGTCCAGCGCCTTGGGACGTCCTCCCGACGTGAAAGGCGTTATACAAATGTCATTTTGTTGTTTTTTCAGGAGAGGAGGATGGTGGGGACAAAAAGGAAGCACAGTTGCACCTTGCAGCATCCTACAGCTAGAAGTAGTAAAGTTAGGAAGATGTTTCATAAATGCACAATGTTCTCTGAAACAAAATACCCAATTGTTCTTCTTCGACTTTGCAGCTCTCACAGAGTTAATCGTGCTTTTTTTCTTATTTATTTTGTTAAAAGCATTCAATTTCAATGCAAGATTTCTGAGAAGCTCCAAGGTTATAAATGGTTATAACACATGCTCAGTTTAGCGGTAAAAAATAGTTCAATGGAAAGAGACTTCTCCACCCAAAGGAGGCAGTCAGGTGATCATATAATGGTTGTTATTAGGTGCATAAGAATGGTCCTAGTGACTCACCTTTCATTTTCCTGTATGCTCATGCCTACCTTTCATTTGGTGCCTTTAACTGAGTCCCACGATTAAGGTCAAGAGCTCAGTTTGTGTGAGGAATCACAAGTACAAACCCATGTCCTAATATTTTGGGGTGATGGGTTGTTCTTCAATGTGGGGCATCATCAGACCGCCAATTAGCTTTCATAGCTTAATCATGATGTGCAACAGGGAAGAGGCTAGTGCATTGCATATGTTTTCTCTAGTATTTATTTGACTTGCAAACATAAATAAGAATACATACAGAATTGAAAAGCTTTCAAACGACACAGACTTTGACCATTCCAGTAAATTCAGATCAATATCCCTTGACCTATCATTATCCCATTATAAGCATTTACTGTATTAGAGCATCTCTTGAGCCATAATCAGATCACGCAAAACATTCGTCATCAGTCCTGATGCAATTTTGGTGTTGATGAGACAAAATTACCTTGTCTAATCGCATTTGAAAGCTTTTACAGCAACCCTCGCAGTGAATCCTGATCTATTTCATTCAATTTGTAAAGTTCCTGTGTCAATTTATTCTACATTAAGTCATAGTTGCAAACTTGTTCTTTAAGAATTGTCAAGTTTATGCTTTTTTTTGGTCAGCCTGACGCACGCAGAAACCCATTACCAAGCTTATGTGTATCCAAACCAAACAGAATTCCGTGCATCCCATCTATACGTGGAAATTTCAGGGAAGTTTATTGGAATGGAATCCACACTATCTTCCTGGAGAGATGAATCCTGCTAATCCAATTCCAGAAAGTATTAGGCACAGGTTGACAATAACCAAGGCTTGGGGACCCCAGAGTGTGCGTTGGGTTATTGTTGGGATATAACCAGCTAAAACCACATAGCTTGACTGAAAGTACTGTCTGGCGAGCTTTCCTGCTGTTTATCCAATTAAGGGACCATCCTATCCATGAGGGCTTCGACCTGCAGGGTTAACAGGAGCTGAATGGGAAGAGTCTTTAACATCTGCATAAACCGCCGGATGGGACTTCAGCTTAACGTCGCGTTTGTAGAACGATACCTCTAACAAAGCAGCATTCGCCCAACACTGTACTGAAATGTCAACCTAGAAGAGCACAGTATATCAGTTCAAAGTCCTGATGTGAGGCATAAACTTTAGACTTAGAGGCAAGAGCGCTACCAACTTTGTTAACACTTTCATTCTATTTATAATAATTATAATCCTTTTATTTAATAACTCGAAAATACAGTAAAAGTAAAAGTATAATAAAAATATAGTCATTATATTGAAAGTAAAGAGGCTGCTTCCGCGCATTTGGTTCCTGAAGATTTCCAACAAGGGAAAAATATATATTCAAATTCAGTTCTAATGTGCCAGCTATTCCATAGGACTAGGTGAGAGAGAATGGCAGGTTTTGGCTTTATAAATTTATATGACAACATCCTGCCATCTGCGGATAAACAAAATCCATTGTGAGGACATTGGTATTGAAAATGCAGTGTTCTCTATCTGGATTCGTACAGTAATTAGCAATTCAAAGTTGCAAACAGCAACTGCTGCCAGTAACCAGGAATGTGTCACACCGACCAACAAGACCTCTGGTATCGTTCACTGTGGTCCTTTACAGTTATTGCTGGTCTGATGATGCATTTACAGCTACTGTCAAGTGTATCGCCCGAATGATCGAATAGGCTCATGTGTTCAGGAATACTGTACCACATTTTAATCCAAACACTATGTGCAAAAATAGAACATGCAGCTCCACCTCCTGCCACAAGGTGGCAGTGCAAACATGCTCAGCCACTACACTAATTTGTGGTTTGATTGCATTTTAATTACTTTACTTACTTTGGGATTTTTCTCCATTTACTGGATAAAGAAGGTCCTACAGCCCATCCGACTTCATCCCTCCAGAACACCCAACCCTACCATCCTTCCCCCCCATCACTGTCTCTACATTCTTGTCGATTTTCGCCCTTTATGTACTTTCTACCCATCTGTCTTTCTTTGATGCCGAGGCAGATGAGGTGAAACAAGCAACATCTTTAACTGGATGGACCCGTAATTTATTTCCTTCGCTTCTTAATGGGCAGGTGCTTGCTGTGTTTATTTCTAGAGATGCTATCTGTCCTTCAGTAGCTCAGCCAGGTGGCTATTCCTCTGCGTATGAGCCAAGGCGATAAACAGTGCCAGGCTAGGTAACCATAGGGGGGGGTTGGTGAATACTGCAGAACTGCATATATCACAGCCAAGCCTAACACTGTCCTCATCCCCTGAACAAGTGAGCCCTTTAAAGCCGGGCTCAGCTGATAAGAATCAGAAACAGAAACCCCTCGCCGATTAGCCTGAGGTGAAGTCAAGTATAGGAGTCCCTACCACCTCTAAAAAGCGCTCCAAGACATTACCCTACCCGAAGGGCACTATACAAATGTAAGTTGTTGTTATATTCATTTCTCCTGGCAGTCAATTAAATAAAATGCTGCACACTATCTCATTACTAAAATAGGAGGGGGGGAGTTTGTGGGGAAGAGGCAAAAAGAGAAAACTAAAAGAAAAAACAAACTGTATAATCATCCCGGGGCAGGGGAGGGGAGGTTGGATTAGGTGTAGAAAGGGTTGCCAGTACTGATTTGATTCATTGACAATTACAGTGAGTTGACAATGTAAGAAAAGAAACATTAAATTTCAAAGCTGATGGTTGTATTTTGTTGACTTGTTCACTTACAACTTGCATTTATACTGTTCCCTCATGTAGGGTCATGACTCGAAGTGCTTCACAATACTGGGGTCGGACGCCAAGCAAAGGAGAAGGGGGAAGAGAGAGATGACCAAAGGCGCGGTTAAACAATGGTAGATTTCATGGTGGGATTTAAGGACAGATGGGGGGGGGGGGGGGGCGAGGCCGAGGGGTACAGACAGGGAGTTCTGGAGTCTGGAGGTGTAGTGATTGAAGGCTCGGCCACCAATAGTGATGAGGAGGGGGTGGAAGACGTGCAACATTTATATATTATTCAACACATTTTTTCCCCTCAGAGCCCTCAATGCTACTGTCCTCATGTGTACAACATCTTGGCGAGTTCTCTTACCTTCACCGTGATGGGGTTCAGCACAATTTTCACCGCTCATTAAAACCACAGAATCTTTCGGGGCCCAAACTGAGGCCTGCCAGGTTGCCATAGCTACTGGTGGCTCCTGGCAAGGAAAGAGAGCTCTGTTGTTTATAGGCGATCCTACTGTATACACACATGGCCTGCAATTTAAAAACAAATACATCGTAAATTAACACAAAATACCAGAAAGGTTTTCGTCTAAAGAAAAATATAATTTATTTTAGTCTGACACAGCAATGGCAAAGCATTGGCCTCTAATTTAAAACCTACCTTTGCTATCAAATGACCAACTAGTGGTTGTCCTCTGGGGTGCATTTCTCCAAGGTGAGAGTATTGCAGTGACAGGGAAATTTTATACGTGCTGCTGGAAAGCGTATGTGGAATTCTCACTCTGCTTTGGATACTCTTTGAGCACGGAGATGGGCTTTCACATGGGTCAGACACCCAACATGAGATACGCCATAACAAATGCAAGGTTTATTATTATAACCGAATTTAACAAATGCAAAAAACTATGCAATATTGAATGTTTGGTTACAAAAGGGTTTATAATGATCTTTTGTCTCAAATGATGCGTTTAATCAGTACTTTGTAGGTAGTTATAAACAGTTAAGCTGCTTTATTATTTGAAGTTCTAATAATAAAATATTATGCAAATGTGAGCTGACACCTTTCTTCACTTCCGTCCCACTTCCATACTTTGGCTTTGTTCCACCCACCAAGTCTTTAAATGACTGTAATATGCTCGCAGAACACTTGCATGTAATTACCCACCTGGTCCTCTCCAATACAACAGATAATTGAAGGCTCTGCCATAATTCAGAACTAAATAAAGGATCGCAAGCTGCTTGACTTGACCAATGGCCTGATCGTGGCTGTATTACCAAGATCATACTGCGTGACCTTAAGTTTTACTTATGCCTCATGTGCATCACTAAGTCTTGCCTTTAGTGAGATCTCTCCAGGTTGTGGATAAAAATAGTTTTCAATTATCAACTGTTTATGATTTTCCTTGGACTATCACATGCGTGCATTGCTTTTGCTGTAGTATGTTCTTTGTGACTCTCATGAACTCTGTAGCATTTAATAACTTAATAACTTTCTGCACCAAATGTTTATTATGTACAAAAGCATTTAATTACCTCATCTCTGATACCAACAGCAAGTTCCATATATAATAATAATAATTCTTGTATTTCATCATAGAATCATAGAATTAGATAGCGCAGAAAGAGGCCATTTGGTCCATTGTGTCTGTGTCGGCTCTTTGCAAAGAGCTATCCAAATCAATCCCACTCCCCCGTTCTCTCCCCATAGCCCTGCAAACTTGTCCTCCCCAAATTACCTACTTCTCTCTTAAACGTTGTTATCGAATCGGCTTCCACCACCCTTTCAGGCAATGCATTCCAGATCCGAACAACTCGCTGTGTGAAAAAATTTCTCCTCACCGCCTCTATGTTTCTTTTAGCGACTATTTTAAAATCGGTGTCCTCGGGTTACCGACCCACCCGCCAGTGGAAATAATTTCTCCTTGTTCACCCTATCGGATCCCCTCATAATTTTGCAAATCTCGATTAAGTCTCCTCTTAACCTTCTCTGCTCCAAGGAGAATAATCGTAGCTTCTCTAGACTCTCCTGATAACTGAAGTCCCTCATTCCTGGTACCATCCTGGTAAATCTCCTTTGCACCCTCTCCAATGCCTTGACATCCTTCCTAAAGTGTGGAGTCCAGAACTGAACACGGTCTCTAACTGAGGCCTAACCAGTGTTTTATAAAGGTTTGTCATAACTTCCTGACTTTTGTATTCTATACCCCTATTTTTATAAAGCCTAGTATCCCGTTTGCTTTAACAGCTTTATCTCCCTGTCCTGCCACCTTCAAAGATTTACTTATATGAAACCCCAGGTCTCTCTGTTCCAACATTCTACACCTGAAGTCCCTCTCTTGATCCATTACCCCCAGAAAGTGATCCGGCAATCGACTAACAACCGGGCTCCTACTTACTGCCAGATAAACATCGGCGTGTGGATTAAGGAAACTTGCATAATATATAACTGCAGCTCTTCTTTCTAGCATTTCCATGTCTGCACCAAGTGCTTTGCCTTCATTTCTAGATGTTCTTGTGGTTTTATGTGCTCCATGGTTGACATGTAAAACTGACGTTTTCCACTTAATTCTTCTAAGTTTCGCTCGTGTTCCACACTTAGAAAAATAGAACTAAGGAATTTGCTGATTGACTCAAACTGCTGAACTGCATAAAAACATGGACATTTTCAACATAGGAGGAGAGAAATCAGCCTATCTTGCCCATTCCACTGGTATTAGACCTCAGGACAGTGATTTAAGATCGTGCTTATTTGAGTCAGTATCATTTCCTCTCCCCCCCACCCCCACCTCACCCATTTCTGACTTGATGTAGAATCGCTATTCCACTAGACTTTGCCCCTTTGCTCCACACACTGACCGTGGAGAAGTGCAAGGTTGAATTTCATGCACTTCATTTGCAAGCGTCAACTCATAAACTGCTCTCTAGCTCCACAAAAGCTAGGAGTAGGAATTGGTCATGGCAAAACAGGTTAATATAATATAATATAAAAAATTATATTATAATAATTATCCTTGCATTTTATATAGGCCTTCTCACATCGTTGAGATGTCTTAAAACACTTCACAGAATATATTGTAAAGTGGATTGACTGTGTATTTTGTGTGTGAAACACAGCAATGTCCCACAACAGTTATGGATTGACTTACAATTTTTTTTTGAGGAATTATTACCACGATCCGCAAATCGACTGACAACTGGGTTCCTATTTACTGCTGGGTAAAAAGAGGCGTCTGGAGTAATAAAACTTGCCTAAGATTTCACCCTGCCCATTATTGAGGGCATTTACAGAGGGCATAATCATCTGGAAAAATTGAGCACAGCTATTACAAGAAAGGAAGTAGGTTTATCCAAAAGCTGTCCACATTTTCCTGCTGAGTTACATTAGAAAGGGAAATAAAAAGTCCACTGGTCTGGTACTCGACATGATGAAGCACTAAAATCTATAGAGAATTGTTAATTTTTTTTAAACTGTTGCTCAATTTCCATGTGTTTTGCAAGAATTGTGACTGGGCTTCATTATTTGCGTTCCAGTGGATTGAATGACTCACAGGTTGGAAGGAAAGACGAGCAAACGATACTGTGGCAATCACTCCGCCAGTCAGGAGAAGCCTGTGTGGGAGAGCAAGAATGCAAATTCAAATCCCAATGCACCACTAGCATTGGAACGGAGTACTGTAGCTTAGGTTTAGACCACTCGCCTCGCAAGCGAGAGGACCTGGGTTCCATTCCCGGGCAAAGCGAAAGATTAGGCAAGTTTCCTTACTCCACACACCTCTGTTTACCTACCCAGTTGTTAGTCGATTGGCGGATCCCTTTTCGGGGGTAATAATCCCTTAAAAAAAATATGGTCACTCAATCCATGATTGTTTGTGGGACACCGCTGTGAGCAATTGGCTTTCATGTTTCGCCCACGAAATATACTTTACAGTATATTCTGAGAAGCGTTTTGAAACATCTCGAAGACATGATAAGATGTTATATCAAATGCAAGGATTATTATTGTTATAATAATAAGGCAAGGCACACTAGACTTGAAATCCCACCTAAACATGGCTGGTTAAAGCCTTTTTGTCCTAAAAATTTAATCTTGAGAATAAAAAAAATGGAGAACTACAGTTTTCTGCAGTTCTTAAAATCCAGACTGGAATGACATATTTTCCACAATTCTGCACAACCTTAAATTTTCGGACAAAATGGTCTTACTGGTTAGATTAGGTAAAATTTCAGGCCAACTGTTGAGGTTACATAAAGAAATCTTTGCTCTACCTTGGGCAATACCATACCAATACCAATACCAATTTCTCCCAGAGAATGATGAGGTCCCCATTTGAACCAAGATATGAAGGAAGATGAAGCACAGTTCAGAAGCAGAAGTATTCTATAATAATCTATCCTCCATTAATGTTACAACAAAACAATTCCTCTACTTACCCTTGTTATATCTAAACTCTGATGCCAAAGTTTCAGATTTATTTTGAAAGAGAGATAATGTTAAACCCTTTGTTGTAAAATAAAATGAGCAAGATCCATCATATATCTGTCGGCTTCTTTAAAAGCAATTCTTTTCAGTGCCATTTACCTGCCCTTTCCCCATATCCCTGGAGCTGACTTCTTTTTAGATATTTATCTAGTTCCTTTTTGAAAGCTAATATGGTGTTTGATTCAACAACAACTCATGAGAGGGCATTCCACATCCCTAACCACACATCCCTGGTATCATCCTGGTACAATGATTAAAATACTTAACAATTGTAAGAGGAGAAAGGATATTAGGTTAGCACACTTTCTTCTCACCTCTAGGATAGGAACTGGAATTGCATCTAGACTGATAAGCTGAACATCTTTCTTTCACTACCTCTCCTGTCTCTTGACGCTATGAAAATGCAAGTTTTTTTCTTCCTTACATACCTTCAATCATCTCACAGAGCCCACAACAATGGCAGGTGTGAAAATATTTAATGTAGAGAATGCTCTCTCCGTTGGGGCTACAATGCATAATTTATTTTTCTGCTGGCATCTGAAACTGAGCAAAACCAGAGATCCAACCTTGAATCTGCATGATTTGAAACAAGAGCACTGTAACACTTACCTGCTAAGCCTCATTGAGATACAGCAGTAGATGGGGGAGTGGGGGGGGGGGGGGGGGTGGAATACATTAGTCCTGCTGTGATGTACCTGACAGAGATTTCTGATGAGTGCAAATAACCAATTTAGATGTAGTGTAGCTTTGGAGCCAATCAAATGCAATCCAAGGTCTCTAGAACAGAGGTAGGGTGTCATCTTATTTTATTTAACGTCATCAACAGCCTGGGTAGTGTATTATTCTTCAGTAAAGAAATGCACATCATCCATCATCTGATTTGTCTGCCCTTCCTCACACACATACACCAGCACTACCTGCTTTCAATACGGCTACCCTCACCAACTGGCAATAGTTGATTAGAGATAAATGAAGAAGAGAGGGAAAATAATAAAAATAATAATAATAACCTTGCATTTGATATAGCACCTTATCACGTGGTTGACACGTCTTAAAGCGCTTCATAGAATATACCGTAAACAGAATTGACTCTATATTTTGTGGGAGAGACGCGGCAGCCAATTGCGCACAGAAAAAAAAGCCGATGTTTCCAAAGGCAAAGGTAAACACCGACAACCCTCAAAAAAGAAACAAGGCCATTGCAACACCTACTTTAAATACTACATTTATGAACGACGACTCATTTGAAGGCTTGCTATCAGGACCCCCTCTTAAAAAAAATCAAACTGTTTTACGAATAACTGTCATTAAATTTAAACATCCTCTCATTTATTTTGTTAAATAATACTGATTACATAAGCAAGTAGTTGGAGAGGCAAGTTTACCGAGCCTGATGTGCGAGAACTGAATAAACACACAGATGCTGCTCTCGTTGAAGCAGCCTTCAGTTTACAACAGTTTCCACTCTCTCACACCCTGAGCCTCAGCCACCTGCTCAAGCTGGTAACCCCTAACAGCAAACACAGGGTTTGAACAAAAAAAATCTCAAATTCAACAGGAATGGACAAAAGAATGTTAATCGTAGTCATGCTTTACGATTATTTTTTAAAATGAGGGTGATGACGGGTGAAACCTCCCCCCGGAAAAGATCATAAAATACTGCTATTGCTTGGTGCTTTTTATGTGGAATGTCACACGTCATTTTTCTCTTAGCGCTCATGTAACATGCAGCAGGCAACACTCACTGGCTATTAACAAGAAAAGAGCTGCATCACACCCAGCGCAGCCAAGCAAATCTCTTCGTGATTACTTGAAAAGGTCCGAATAATCAGTTCATCAACAGATTCTGCAATCTTTCCAATCAGGTAACCACAATATCTTTACCCTACTTTGCTCCGCACCTTAGCAATCAACCTGCCCCATGAGGGCAGGAAAATAGGGCAGTGTGAATATTTTTAAATTAACCTGATTCTGTCCTGATTCAGTACGTTATGTGACTGAGCACCAAGTCAGTCAGCCTCAAAATTTCTGTCAGATTCACTTCCAATATTCAAGTGCAATTTTATTATCTATCACAGGTCAGACATACAGCTGGGCTTGGGCATACATATTATCAGCTACCTGTAGTAATAATACTTGCATTTGATATAGTGCTTTATCACGTTGTTGAGACGTCCCAAAGTGCTTCACAGAATATATATTGTTAAGTGGGTTGACTGTTGAGATTTCTTTCCTTTCCTTGTGATTAGATGGATGGACAATTATTATTGAATAAACAGTGCTGTATGAATATCGCCAGTGTCACATTCACCCAAATTTTCCAGAATGTAACAATCATAGTCTGAGTTGCACCAATACTTAAGATATTTACAATATTTTTACAATATTGACACAATATCCAGTTCAGACCCTGAATGAAAGGATTTACAAACGTTTTCTGCCCACGCTTATGTATCAATAAGCCTTTGATTGCTGAAAAAGCACAAAGGCTTCTTGTCGCATTGCCCTACATTACTGCGCACTGATAAAACAATTGTGCATTATTGGTAAAAAAAACATATTCAGCATCCCTGCATAAAAAGATGGAGTAAATAATAAGCAAATCTAAATTTGAATAAAATGTATTAAGCGGGTATTTCAGTTAGAAGTAAACGCTCTCAACTAATGTTATTTGCAAAATAATTACTATTCCTCCAGCTCAGGTGCAAGATCTTTCTCTTTGACGATGCTTTTGGTCATCTTCCCACCTCCACCCCCTTGCCCCCCACGCCTCGCAATTCCAACATCTAACTCGGGTGCAAACCCTTCACTGTCCAGCGCTTGGGATGCCCTCCCAATGTGTAGGTGCTATAAAAATGCTAATTGTTGTTGTTGTTGCAAACTTTGGCCTGTCCAGAGCCTTGGGACATTCTCTCGAAGTGAACAACACTATCTATATGTACATTTGTTGTTATTGTTGCTTCCAAAAAACTACTATACAAATGAAACTTGTAAAGGTGTTTTAGGCCAACCAAATAAAATTATCACGTGAACACTAATGTGGGCAGTCTGCATTAGGTTACATATTACGAATATAACCAAAATCATTGTACACTCTGCACAAAATACCTGACATCCAAACCTAACAAACATGTTTGAGTAACTTAAGGAATTAACAAGGTTATTGCTCCATTGAATCATAATGACATAAGAGCATTGGCAATGTGCTGAGCAGGAAGGAAATGCCCTAATTAATTTTTCAAATCATCATTCACAAGTCCTCTTTCACACAAACCAGCTCTATTTTTTTTAGAAGAGTCCAAGTCTTGCATCGACACCCAATCAACCGATGCATCTTATCTGTTCCACACGTCACAAATTAATACTCGTGAAACCACCAAGCATTCAAAGTAACTAACCTGTAACTTTGGTCCTGGGTCCATCTCACTGAAGCACCGTCTGCCTTGGTTTCATACCAGATTTTCAATGCGTGAGGGAAATCTTCAGGAGTTTGTATTCCCGGTTTCCTGATTTTCAGGCACCACATGTCTGTGTGGAACTGGAGTTCTCCGCAGCCGGGTGCATGGCTGCCCTGGAGATAGTAGTGATGCTGCTCTCGCCAGCGTTCTGCTGCTAAACTTATAATTTTGTGCACAATGTCATTTCTGGGATCACCTTGACGTCTCGGACAATAGCTGCCGTCTCTTGCCTCGGCAATCAGTTTCTCGGTACCTGCCACAGCTGTGACATCCACTTCTTCCACCTTTCTCACCACGAGATCGCAACAATCCAGCACCAACACAAAATCCTCCCCATCGCTGCAGCGCTCCCTCGTTCCAGAAATCCCACTAGCCCACTCATCGTTGCCATGGTGACAGCTATTAATATCAGTAACTCTTCCAGCGCTATGGGTAGGCAAATTGCTCGTCTTATCTGCAGATGCACAAGCAGCAGCAGCAGCACTTGAGGCAGCATCGCACAGAGATCCAGGTGGCTCAGCTTCAACTATTCTCCGCGACTCACAGCACCGACCTACTTCTGATGCGTCAGGTACCTTCTCACGCAGTCTCCTGGCCTCCAAGAAAAGGACTGCGGTCCCACTGAAGACCTTCTTGTCGAAGTTCAGTGCAACGTCTAACACATAGTGCCTGACTAACATGTAATTGGTGTTGGCCATGAGAGGAAGGTCGTCTTTATTGGGGTCTAGAGTTGACATTGTGTCTTAAGAGTATGTAAGCAATTGGCTCCAAGCGCGTTTATAGGTAAACAGTGTCACTGTCGTATTCCCCAACTTTTATCACGTTTAAAAAGGATTTTGAAACCCAATGCTGGATCTTCTATTTGTGTGCAGGCAGCAGCTATTATTTTTATTTCTTAACACCTGTGTAGAAAAAAACATCAGATTAAAACTGTGTTGTGTGGCCGTTTAAATCACAAATCACACTTCACACAGTTTATTGTATTTGGGTTTCCTTATGTTAACTTGTCTACAGTCCCTAATATCTGCGCTCATCGATCAAATCTATAATAGTGGATTGAGTGGAGCCAGTTTCTGCTACTAGTTTTCTGCAGGGCCTCTCCACGAGTGAGAGCAGGAAGGAGGGTGGTTGAGGGTAAGGGAAGCACATCTTGAACACATTAAAATATGGAGACTGCTGTGAGGGTTAATTTGACAGCAAAATCCCCAAAGAATTTACACATTGCTGCCTCAAGAGTTGGTACTGACGTGAAACACACCTTCACCCTGAAACTTATTCCAGTGCAGAATTAGGCACATTGATTTTTTTTTATTGGAGGTCAGATTTAGGCTGATGTTGGTTGGGCTCCAGAACGCTGTACTTGTAAATTGGAAGTCATGGGATTCCAGGGCGCAGAGAAAGGGTTACTGTCAATCGCAAATTTATCTGAGTTCCAGAGCATTTCGTATTTATGCCAATAAAACCAGAAGTAATCCCAGATTGGATACAGAAAAGCATTCCTAAAAACACCTGGTATAAAATATTTTCCATGCTCCAGGAAACAGTCGTCTATTGTATTGTACAATTTTCTTTAATAGTCCTGTGGCTATATCTATAACATTAATAATCCTTCATGGGATCTTTAACGCTCACCTTAAGAACAGCCAATTAGGATCGATCCTATTTTATTACATTTACATGGAGCGTAGTACCTCAGAGAGCTTGACAGTGAAGGATCCTGACCTCGAACCAGGGGGTGGGGATAGGTGACCATAAGCACGACCAAAGAGGAAGGTCTTCAGCCACGACCTGAAGATGGGGAAGGAGGGGGCAAGGAAAGATAAAAGGACTTGATGCAAATCCCCATAAAGGCATATAAGTTTTCGAATGAAAAACAAACTTCTGATCGCTAACCTGCCATTCTCATTTAATAATTAAATGGAGCTACTTCCCAATCATCAAAACTGAAATACTGCCTGCGCTATCTTATAGATGACAGAACAATTTCCTACTTGGTAAAGTGCTAAACTGGGATTACTGTGGCTATGATCTGATGGCATATCTTCACATCTAACTGACGCTGAATCATGCTGGTGCTAATGAGGATGTGTTTGCATGAGTGGGCGCTGAAAGTATTGGTCAACAAATAACTGTTAACAGTCTTAATGGTTAACAGGCAGAAAATATTTTAATCTCTTTTTTCAGTGTCGGAGTTTATGCTCCTTTTAATGCATTTCATTGAATATGTGAAGTGCTTTGAGATATCCTCCTGATGTGAAAGGTGACAAATGGAAGTATTATTATTATTGCATGGAACTGTAGCATAAATATACAGTGCACACATACAGTGCAGGTACAACCTCCTACTCTGTTGCATTCACCACTTTACAATACTGTATGTTCTGTGAAACATTTGGGCTGGTGTGTGTGTGTATGGGGGGGGGCTGGTGTGTGTGTATGGGGGGGGGGTGTGTGTGTATGGGGGGGGCTGGTGTGTGTGTATGGGGGGGGCTGGTGTGTGTGTGTATGGGGGGGGCTGTGTGTGTATGGGGGGGCTGTGTGTGTATGGAGGGGGGCTGTGTGTGTATGGAGGGGGGCTGTGTGTGTATGGGGGGGCTGGTGTGTGTGTATGGGGGGGCTGGTGTGTGTGTATGGGGGGGGCTGGTGTGTGTGTATGGGGGGGCTGGTGTGTGTGTATGGGGGGGGCTGGTGTGTGTGTATGGGGGGGGCTGGTGTGTGTGTATGGGGGGGCTGGTGTGTGTGTATGGGGGGGCTGGTGTGTGTGTATGGGGGGGCTGGTGTGTGTGTGTATGGGGGGGGCTGGTGTGTGTGTGTATGGGGGGGCTGGTGTGTGTGTGTATGGGGGGGGCTGGTGTGTGTGTATGGGGGGGCTGGTGTGTGTGTATGGGGGGGGCTGGTGTGTGTGTATGGGGGGGGCTGGTGTGTGTGTGTATGGGGGGGGCTGGTGTGTGTGTATGGGGGGGTCTGGTGTGTGTGTATGGGGGGGTCTGGTGTGTGTGTATGGGGGGGTCTGGTGTGTGTGTATGGGGGGGGCTGGTGTGTGTGTATGGGGGGGGCTGTGTGTGTGTGTGGGGGGGGCTGGTGTGTGTGTGGGGGGGGGGGGGCTGGTGTGTGTGTGTATGGGGGGGCTGGTGTGTGTGTGGGGGGGCGCTGGTGTGTGTGTGCGTAAAGGGGGGGCTGGTGTGTGTGTGGGGGGGGGGCGGTGGCTGGTGTGTGTGTGTGGGGGGGCTGGTGTGTGTGTGTGGGGGGGGCTGGTGTGTGTGTGGGGGGGGGGGGCTGGTGTGTGTGTGTGGGGGGGCTGGTGTGTGTTGGGGGGGCTGGTGTGTGTGTTGGGGGGGGCTGGTGTGTGTGTTGGGGGGGGGCTGGTGTGTGTGTATGGGGGGGGCTGGTGTGTGTGTATGGGGGGGGCTGGTGTGTGTGTGATGGGGGGGCTGGTGTGTGTGTATGGGGGGGCTGGTGTGTGTGTGTATGGGGGGGGCTGGTGTGTGTGGGGGGGGGCTGTGTGTGTGTGGGGGGGGCTGGTGTGTGTGTGGGGGGGGGGCTGGTGTGTGTGTATGGGGGGCTGGTGTGTGTGTATGGGGGGGGGCTGTGTGTGTGTATGGGGGGGCTGGTGTGTGTGTATGGGGGGGCTGGTGTGTGTTGGGGGGGGGGCTGGTGTGTGTGTGTATGGGGGGGCTGGTGTGTGTGTGTAAAGGGGGGGCTGGTGTGTGTGTGTGGGGGGCTGGTGTGTGTGTGGGGGGGGGGCTGGTGTGTGTGTGGGGGGGGGCTGGTGTGTGTGTATGGGGGGGGCTGGTGTGTGTGTATGGGGGGGGCTGGTGTGTGTGTGTATGGGGGGGCTGGTGTGTGTGTATGGGGGGGTCTGGTGTGTGTGTATGGGGGGTCTGGTGTGTGTGTATGGGGGGGCTGGTGTGTGTGTATGGGGGGGGGCTGGTGTGTGTGTATGGGGGGGGGCTGGTGTGTGTGTATGGGGGGGGCTGGTGTGTGTGTATGGGGGGGGCTGGTGTGTGTGTGGGGGGGGGGGGCTGGTGTGTGTATGGGGGGGGCTGGTGTGTGTGTATGGGGGTGTGGTGTGTGTGTTATGGGGGGGGCTGGTGTGTGTGTATGGGGGGGGGGCTGGTGTGTGTGTATGGGGGGGCTGGTGTGTGTGGAGGTTGTGGGCGGGGCTGGAGGTTGGGGCGGGCTGGA